AGGACCGCGGGAGCACGTGGGATGAGGGGTGCTGGAGCTTCGCGGGACACGTGGGCCGCCCCGACAGCTCCGGGGGTGGGGGGACCCTCCGGCCACTGCCCGCGGGGGAGCCCTCAGGGCTCTTGGTGCAAAGGCTGTGGCATTTGCAATATGCTGCTCTAAACTCTGCCATGGCTCCCCAGTGCCCTTTGCACAGCCTCCAGCCTCTCTGCAGCTGTGCGTTCAGACCCAGCACCTTGTTCTTGGGTCCCCGTGTCGCAACCGAGCCAACTTACGACATTTCCCCCAATTTAACAACCTCGCCCGGGGTCTGGGCCCTTTCCCTCCTGCTGAGCTGTTCTTCTCGGCGTCTTTCCCTAGGCATCCGTGCACGCCTGCGCTAGGGGCCAGGTCACCAGCCACCCGCGCACCCCGTCTCCTCTGTGTTCAGCCTCTCCAGATGGGGCTCCAGGCTGCCTCGGGGGGTGACAGAGACTGAAGACAGCCAGAGAGAGAAGAGAGAGAGCGGAACAGGGCGCAGTTCCTGAGGGGAGAGGGCTCGGAATTCCGCGGGAGGGTTCGGGTCCCCTCCGTCGGCTGTGTGTTGGGGTCCTGCAAAGTTTGTTCCCCGAGTTACAGGATTTGGGGCCTGGGCTCAGCGTGGCTCGGTGGTGAGCGCTGACTTAGCACAAGTGGGTGAAGGAGGAAGACGGGGGAGGGCAGAACACGTCCGCTGATGCGTAGGCTGGAAGTCGGGGTTGTTTGGGTTTTTTTCACCTTCATAATCGTGATTGATTCACGCCAGGCCAAAGACGCAGGTAAAAAGCATTAACCCAGGGCGGAAAACGGTAAGTCGGAAGTCATAAGCAGGAGAAGAGAGGGAAGGATGAATAATTTAACAAGGACCCTAAATGAAGCTCGGAGTTTGGCAGCGGCCAGGATCGCAGCGCCCGCTTGGTCTCCTTCCCGGCCGGGCCAGGACCGCTGGCCTCGGTGTTGCCGGCTAAGCTCGGGGCGCAGCCCGCGGGGCTGCTACACAGGAGGCGCTGGGGCCCGGCTGCTCCGTGGAAGGGAGGGGGCAGTGGGCCTCTCCGTCCGGCTGTCTGTCCCTGGCTGCGGCAGGGATAACTGCTCCTGCCTCCGAGGGTTCTGGAAGCGTCACTTTATGAGAAATGTACCTTATACTGAACACCTGATTACAGTGACACATTACACCTTCTTCAGTTGCTGTGCAGCTCTTAGTAGAGATACTTAGTGACATTGATATGGAAAAATTTAGCTCTCAATTTGTTAGATGTATGGAGTTTGTGGTATTGCAACATCGAGGAATGAAGTCACAAACCAAAAGAGGATGTTAAGAAAGTTTTGGGGCGCAGCCCGCGGGGCTGCTACACAGGAGGCGCTGGGGCCCGGCTGCTCCGTGGAAGGGAGGGGGCAGTGGGCCTCTCCGTCCGGCTGTCTGTCCCTGGCTGCGGCAGGGATAACTGCTCCTGCCTCCGAGGGTTCTGGAAGCGGCAAAGGGAAACGGACGAGAGATACAGAGCAGCTTGTCCCCGGGAGCATCCATTCAGCCGGTGCCGAGATGCTCTAAGTGCTTTGGACGTAGAAGTAAACAAAATAGTCTGAAAAAAATCGCTGCAGTTAACGGTGCTGTGGAGGAGACGGACAATATCTCACGCTGGTAAAAGCCTGCTATCGCTGCAGCCCACAGGGCCTGGCACAGCCTCTCCCCGCCTCCCCTCCTCCCTCTGCTCCAGCCACGCAGGCTCCTCACTGCTCCTGAACCGCACTGGGCTCCTTGCTGCCCCAGGGCTTTTGCACAGCTGTGCCCTCCACCTGGAATCAGGACCCATCCTTCTTGTCCTTTCACACCTTCTCCAGCCATCTTGCTAAAGTAACCCCACTTGCTCACCCTTATCTCAGCACCGGATTACTCATCCTAGTGCGGAATGGTTTCATCTGGGGGCCCCTTTGCTGGTTTCCTCCCCATCTTCCCACTCCAGCCCTACCTCAGTTTGTTTGCCTGTGAATGAGAAGAATAATCTCTGTCCCTCAGGCAGGTGGGTGGATGGCATGAGTTACATTGTGTCCGTCATCTGACCCTGAGTGTGGGTTATACCACAGAGGTGACCTCCATGTGCGGAAAACCAAACTGTCTGGGAGACCATAAAATATCAGTCCTATAAGGGATGGGACACCGCTGGGCCTTGAGTGCTTGCCCAGCATGCGTGAGGCCCCGAGTCCCATTCTGAGAAGTGAAAAGAAGGAGGAGAGAGGCGTGGTGGTGCACGCCTGTCATCCCAGCACTTTGGGAGGCTGAGGCAGGAGAATCGCTGTGAGTTCAAGACCAGCTTGGGCTACATAGCGAGTTCCAGGTCAGTCTCAACTACATAGTGAGACCCTGTCTCAAAAACCAAAAATAAATAAATAAATAAATATAAAATAAAATAAAATAAAAAGGGCTGGGAGTGCAGCTCAGTGCGAAGGCCCCGGGCTCCATCTACAGCAGCAGAAAAAGACAAGGAACAAAATATTCTAGAGGGCTGATTGCAGGCTGCAGGCAGCTGCCAGGTTGACAGCCGTCAGCTCTGGCAGAGTAAAGTTGAGACTCCCAGCAGCACAGCTTGCAGAGAGCGGAGAGAATGTTGTCCCCTGGGCACGGCAGAGGCCTCCAAGTCCCCTCCATGGGAGGCTGGGCATGGCGGGGCCTGGTTCTCTGCCAGCCTCGGCGCCTGGCACTCGGCTGGTGAAGGGTTCGGTCCCCCAGCGTTCCCACCTCTCTGGGTACCACCGGGGCTCTCGCTCCGCCCACCTCCTCCGCCCACCTCTGCCCAGGCGGCTCCCCGGGCTGCTGCTAATGAGCTGCTTTGTATTTTCCTCCAACTGATGGCAGGGGAACTGGCCCCACCAGCACTCCGCACAGGATTCCCCTGGCCGAGGGTGGGGCCTCCCGTGCTGGGTTCCAACCACGGCTGTGTGCCCTTTGGATTCCACACCCAGCGTGGCTTCGGGTCCTGTGCCCTCCCGCTCCTTCTTTTTCTCTCTCCCCAGATTCACTGCGAATATCAGAGAGGAAAGGAGCAGCAAGAAACACACTTTTTGCTCCACACCTGTTCCGGGCTGGCCTCTCTCTGCCTGGGGTCCCTTTGGGGGCCCATGAAATGTAGCTGATTGGCTAATTGTGGGGCTCTGGAATCAGAGAGACTGGAGTTCAGATCCTGACAGTGGGGTTTGCAAAATTCAACATTCTTTCATGATAAAATCTGTCAGTAAAGCCAGGCATAGTGTGCACACCCGGCATCAAATCTACTCAGGAGGCTGAGGCAGGAGGATCACAAGTAAGAGCCCATCCAGGAGAATTTAGCCAGACCCTGACTCAAAGTAAAATTTAAAACCAGGCGTGCTGGTACACACCTATCATCCCAGCACTTGGGAGGCT